CTGGGCAGCGCTAGGCCATAGCGATGTGCGCGGCGGGGCTCTTTGTGCGGGTAATACGGTGTGACACGAGGGGAACAAAGGCGAATTCATGGGCCCAGCAGGTAGCAGCGCAGCAGTGCCACGGGACCACAGCCAGATCTCCCCAGCCTGCGAAACGCACAGCCTGCACTGGGGGGGAAGCGCGGCGAGGCCCTGCCAGGCCTGGCCAGGGCTGCCCCCTCTTCCCCTCTCTCTCCCTCTGGCCCCTTCCGAAAAAGATCTCTTCATCACTCGAGACGACCGAGCCGAGCAGAAGACCAGGTTGCAGGGAGAGCCCCGACTCCAGTGCGCGGGGGGATCAGGAACGACCGCCCTCCCTCATTTCTTCTGACGGGTGTTAGACGTGAGATAATGCCAGCCTGGGAATTTTTGAGTTCCGTCTGTGACTCATTCAACAGAGTGATAAAACAAAATCCAGGTCTTGGACGAACGCACCTTGCTTTCGTGTGCATACCGTTTCATTAGATGTTCGAATCTGATGCTGCTCGAGTCCGTCTTTCGGATGAGACGTTAAACTGAGGTCCTGACTCTTGGTGGTCATTAAAGACCCCCGGACATTTCTCGAGAAGAGTAGGGAGTTATCCCGGTGTCCGGGCCAAATTCCCCCCCTCGGCCTTTACTGTGGCCTCCAGATTCTCCCCCTGTATGATGGGCTTGCACTGGCCCTGCGATGGACTGGCGCCCTGTCCAGGCTGTACCCTGCCTTGCGCTCGTTGCTTGCTGGGTAGGCTCAGTTTCCCGCGACACTGTATGGTATAAAGCGGTTTGGCAAATGACATGACATGTTGCCCGAGTTTGCACTCTAAAGACCCCCCCCCAACACACACACACGCTTCCTTCAGGCCCCCCAGGTCTAGACTCCTGCTAGGCCAGAGGACGGGCTGGAGCTGTTTCAGCAAACTGCCTTTTCCAAGCGCAGCAGACATCCTCTCTGCTGACCCCATGAGTTGAAGACATTTTTCCGAGACACCAAAGCTCCAGCCACGAGCCCCTTTGAAAAGGCAGGTTTCTTTTTTTTTTTTTTTACAAACATCTCCTGTTCTCAGTAATGACCCCACCTCCCCTCTCGAGGGTAGTAACAAGGCGTTTGTGGAATGTCTCCCTTTCCCCCCATCACCCCCACCCTGCTGCCCCCGAGCCTGCGCCGACTCCGAAGACAAGCCCAGAGATGGGGTTTCACCACCTCTGAGCGGAACAGCTTATTATGAAACCCAACACCTTTGTGTTCGCAAGCGCGCACGCTTGTTCCAGCTCACCTGTCGCCCAATCAAAGCTCGGGGTGAGCATGGGGAAAAACAAACACCTGTGGAGTGCAGGCCGACCAGCTGCAGCTGCCCCCTCTCCACGCCACCTTCCTCAATGAAGGGGTCTCTATACCTGCCCCCACCTCCCCCCACAAGCAGTCTCCCATGTCTGTGCAGCAGTTTGTTAGACACACCAGGGCCCCTGCTCAACAGGGATGATTCAAAACTTGTGCGGGTAAGACGATCTGTCGGGCCGCGCTGTGCCAGGGGACACTTACGATGAAAGGAGAAATATGCATCAGGCATTCGACTAGTACCAGCTAGTGCTGGAGGGGGTGGAAAAAAACAGTCGAGCACAGGAGTATTTTGCTCGTCGGGACGTCCGAGGAGTTTCGGAATGCTGTCCCCCGCTGCAGCGTGGGAGCATGGCCTGAGAAAGGCAAGGCATGTGTATCGACCGTGTGCATCTACTCATCCTGCTCCCGCAGCCCCACTGCACAGCAGACCAGGAGGAACCTTATAACAGCAGGGAGCTGCGTCAGCACGCGCAGGCTGCAAAGGAACAGGTAAAGGCCGATTCCACATTGAAAAGAGAAGAAACTATGTTCGGGCTGCGACGCCTTCTTCGGGGGTCGACCCTGCCACCTGAGGAAGGCTCCACAGCCCGGACATCGTGTTCCTTTACTTGAACCTCTCGGCGGGAAACGAGCCTTTACCTGTTCACACGTATACTGCGTGTACCCCAGTATGTGAGCGTGCACCTCCTCTTGTGGAGCTGCCAGACGCTCCCCAGTCCGTCTCCCGCATACCTTCAAGAGTTCCTGTCCCCACACGTCGCAGTTCTGGGCTCCTCGATGTTTCAGGGATCCCACACCGCACTGCGACAGCCCTTGGGTCTTTGGAATTCTCTTCCTGATCATATCAAAAACACAACCTTTACTGCCTTCAAAGCTGGCCTCAAGACTTCTTTCTTTTCCATTTCAGAACTGCGACTTTATTTCATTTTCCGCTTACTGTACAGTTCTCTGTATGATTTATGTCGCATGCCTAGAGAATGATCACGATTAAAAGGCACTATAAAAGAATAAAACTCATCGATTGAGTGGCATACTGCAGATCAGAGTTGAAATCATCAATTGGATTCCGTAGGAGAAATGATGAAGGCAGAAACAGAGCCATGATTTTTCCTGCACATTAGTGACAACCTTCTTGTCAGAACAGAACAGAGTCCCAGCAACAGAAAGCCAACTATAAGACTACACAAATAATTCCTGTTCTCTTCAGCTGAGTTATTTTATTGCATACACACGATTATGTACAGTATGCTGTGCTTTTCACAAGGGTGTGCGATATCAGAATTTGTGGACTTAGAAATGATGTGCAACACAATGAAAGCCCCAGCCTCACCACAGTTGCGGAGACAGGAAGGGCCAGACGTAGATGCTCGCGCATTAGCCTGACATTTAGGGTAGCAGGTGCAGGGGTAGTGTGAACAAAACCAGATCGGTTTCCCTTGTGTTTAGGGTAGGACCTCCCAAGTCTTGGGGGGAAAAAATCCAGGCTTGACTGGTCCAATTTAATCTTCCTGCAACAGGTCTGAACCTGCTGGTGGTTTAAGGGGGACCTGTGGAGCCCAGGTCTTGGGGTGCTGCTAGGGCAGAGCGCCATGTCAGACCGTGCAAGTATGGGAGTAATATTTGGTACCTGGTTGCTGGCTGACCCTATCGCTTCCCCGCTCCGACAGCGACCCGCGAGTCCGCCTTCGTCCACGCCATCGCCTCGGCCGGCGTGGCCTTCGCCGTGACGCGCTCCTGCGCCGAGGGCACCTCCACCATGTGCGGCTGCGACTCGCACCACAAGGGCCCCCCCGGCGAGGGCTGGAAGTGGGGGGGCTGCAGCGAGGACGCCGAGTTCGGGGTGCTGGTGTCCCGCGAGTTCGCCGACGCCCGGGAGAACCGCCCGGACGCCCGCTCCGCCATGAACCGCCACAACAACGAGGCCGGTCGCACGGTAAACCCCCTCCTCCTCCTTCTGCTGACGGTGCAGCCGAGGTTCTTGAACCGCAAAAAAAAACATACTGTATATATGCCACAAAAAGATGCAGCACCCGGAACTTGCTGCCTTCCAGTTCTAATAATTTAACTAAAGTAAACACGGTGACTTCACTTTGTTAACATGGATGAGGGAAAAATAAAGAAAGAAAAACAGTTTTTGTTGACACCTGCTGTAAGTGCTGGACCGCAGTGCGGGCCCTGCAGCCTTTTCCTCAGATTTGGCGGCAAGACGACGGGCGGCGAAACGTTGCGCAGTCGGATTAGCCCCGTCGAAAAATTTACTTTTACCGATATCCACAGCCCTGCAGCTCGGGTGGCCCGTGTCAGGAAAATAAAAACACAGTAAACACCTGCTTTCAACTACAGATGGGGAATTCTTTAGCTAAATGAACCTGCATTATTAGGCAGATCGCTGGGCACTGCGGATGGGCTGCGTGTCGTAAGGACCTGTCTCTGTTCAGCTCTCTAATCACGCCTGCCAGCCGGGGACAAAATCACATGCACACACTCATCAACCAGGGCGCAATCAACCCCAGGTCTCCCGGACAGGGAACTGAGGGTCACCCATTTGTGCTTTGTTGGAAGCAAAAGGAAAAAAAAAATGCATTGGAATACCTGTCTGGTACCAATTAAATCTGAATAAGAAGAAAGGCTTGTGTTTGCACTAGGGCAGTAGCGTTATAGTGATGCTGCCCTCACCGATCACACTATTAGCTCACAAGCACTAAGCTCCAAGGGCTGTTGAAATCGAGGAATATCCTGTCTAATTCCAGCCCATCCAAGGACATAATGAGACGACTGGCAGCACCATCAAGTGCTCGGTGTGTCCTTGTGACAGTACAGACTTTTGCTAGGATTATAGGCCCTGCGCAGGTGCCTTGGTTGAGCGCTGTTATCAGTTACGTACTGTATTTACCATGTTTGTGTATCTCTTTGCATGCATGTTCAAGTGTGGCACAGTGGTTAGCCCTGCTGCCTCACAGCCCTAAATTCAGTGCCAAGGGTGCTGTCAGGTTTGTTTGGGATTCCTCCCATTTTCCAGAGACATACTGGTAGGTTAATCGGCTTCTGGGAAAACTGGCCCTGGGGTGAGTGTGTGTGTGCGCCCTTGTCTGTCCTGCAATGTGCCTGTGATGGACTTGTGTCCAGTCCAGGGTGTATCCTTTGCTTTCTGAGACAGGCTCTGGCTCCCCAATCACCCTGAACTCGATGAGCGGTTATTGATAGTGATGCGATGCACGTTCATACATCTGCTGTGCCCAAGGGGAACCCCAACTCTGTTTTCGTGTTCCAGGGTTAGAAAGAATCAGCATCGATGAGTGCATTTCAAACAGCAATAAAAGTCAAATGTACAGAGCAACTTGTGAAACCTCCAATTTACATCACAGAATAGATGAAATTTCCAGGTACAGCATGCACAGCACGATGTTCTGCGATTCAGAACGAGGCAATAAATCTTCTGGTGGTGTGTTGCAGGCTTATTACACTGTAAACCAGCAGGCTCGTGAATACATCTCTTTTAATCCAATAGAAATACTGCTCTCGACTCCCGAGACGGTTTTGCTGACAGATACAACTTTGTTAACTCTGAGTGCAGATCACGTCAGAACACTTCGGTGCGGTGAAATGTCTTGTTACATTAGTCCTTACAGTGACTAGCGAGCAGGAAGGGCCGCACCACGTCGCAGTCCGTGGGGACCCGAATGCGAGTTTGCGAGATACATGGCAACTTGCAGTGCTTTCACAAAGCTGACGATTTTGTGCTCAATTTGAAATTTGTACAGTGTTTCTCCATAACATCAACCAATAGATTTTGTCACTCAGATTAAATACCAGCTCTGAGACATGTGCATGACTGCATGTTCTCGGTGTCCCTTATGGTGCGATGTTCCAACGGCTGCTGCATCACCCCTCTGTAGACCATCCTGGACCACATGCACCTGCGCTGCAAGTGCCACGGGCTGTCGGGGAGCTGCGAGGTGAAGACCTGCTGGTGGGCGCAGCCCGACTTCCGCACCCTGGGCGACTTCCTGAAGGATAAGTACGACAGCGCCTCCGAGATGGTGGTGGAGAAGCACCGGGAGTCGCGCGGCTGGGTGGAGACGCTGCGGGCCAAGTACGCCTTCTTCAAGCACCCCACCGAGCGCGACCTGGTCTACTACGAGAGCTCGCCCAACTTCTGCGAGCCCAACCCCGAGACGGGCTCCTTCGGGACCCGGGACCGGAGCTGCAACGTGTCCTCGCACGGCATCGAGGGCTGCGACCTGCTGTGCTGCGGGCGGGGCCACAACACGCGGACCGAGAAGCGCAAGGAGAAGTGCCACTGCATCTTCCACTGGTGCTGCTACGTCAGCTGCCAGGAGTGCGTCCGCGTCTACGACGTGCACACCTGCAAGTGAGGGGAGGGCTGGCAGGGGAAGGAGGGTCGGACAAAAGGAACGAAAGCACTTCTGTTCTGGAAGAAACTCCGTCGGGAAACCCGCTCCGGGCCTCCGCGCGGGGCATGCTCACGAGAAGCCCAGGCCCCTGTGTTGGTCAGACACACGGCTCCCCCAATTGGAAGTTCACTGTTCAAAGGGGAGCGGCAACGATAGTTTTATATTTCGGGGTTAGAGAGAATCAGCACCGATGGGGCGCCTTGCAGGCCGCCGTGAAAGTAAAATGGACACAGTCACCTCCAAATCACATGAGAAGATCCAAAATTTCCAGGTATGCGCAGCGCCGTGATCTGCAATTCAGAAAGAGGCAACAAAACCTATGCCGAGGCGGAGGCCTTCTTACAGTGTAAACGAGCAGGCTTGGGAATATGTCTCTTTTAATCCAATGGAAATATTGCCCAACGTGTGTTGAGGGACGTTTTACAACCCGAGATTTTTCGTTACGATCTGTAGGGAAATTCCTTGAACAATCAAGGCCCTGCCAATAACAAAGGTACAAAAATTTAAAACTTGCCTGATATCATATATTGATAATTATTATTGGCATTGTTTTGTAAACAGAAAAAACCCAGCCTGTGTTACAAATTATGCTGTGAAAAGAAAGGTCTCTTGCATTACTGAGATCTGGTCTGATTTACTGACTGGCATGAAGTTGCTCACTTTTCATTTTTCCCAGTCTAGAACAAATGAGGGATTAGAGATTAAAGCACTGCACAGTCTGCAGGGTATGCATTGCTATATACTGTCCCAGAAAAATTATTAGGAAGCACTCTTTAAAGATGGATAATTCACCAACAGAGGCAATTCCAGCTGAAACATAATTAATGGCATAAATTCCACTCGACTTCAAGAGATATTGGTCTACTCTGCCAATAGCAACTGACAGCTCTCAGAGGTTCAGCAGTTACTTAGTTTAACCTCAAATGAGCTTCCTGTTGGAACAGCAGCCTGCAATCCACAGAGTCTGTCGGAATTGACACATTAGGCAGGTCTGCTGTTGCCTTCAACCATACACCAGAATATGGACTCCTAAGCATGCCTTTTATAAAGTCAGTTACATTCTTTCCCATAGCACTGTATACAAAGGTAAAGGCCTAGACTGCTGCTAATTTTACAGTCCTTAAGAATCATAGGACATAAAACACGAAGGGCCTATGGATTTTAACACTGCATACCATTCTCAAATAATTTAAGGCAGCATATAATACGCTATAATATAATGTTAAGAAATTTCATCCTGAAAACTTAACAGGACCTTGGCCACTGATGTCTCATGTGGCTTCTGCATTTGCGATCAGTGTCCTCTGCACCAGTTATGTGTCCCTATGGCTTGTTTTATGTCAAATGTAATGTATGCATGGACTACAATGTTGCATCTCAAAGCTACAATGTGGAACACAATCCATGCAGGTTTGGACTGGTTTTTGCATTCCCATTTACTAATATGAATGTGCACAACACATCCTGGACCTCCCAGTACGTTTACTTTTGTTCTTCCACTTGTAGGCTTGCACTGAAAAGCGCGTTCACTGAGAGGCACAGGAAAAGCAGACAATATTAAAAGTGAGGAGCTGTACAGTGACACACAGGGCAGGAAACAGGAAGTGAGAAAGGGGGATTACTTTAAGAATGGGCAACCCAACACATGCTGCTCCTTTTCGGACTCTCCTGACAACCTGCCAAGAGGAGCCTGTTTCTTGGCTGGAGGTTACAGTAACAAACTAACAGCTGTTAGGTCCTTCAGCCCAGTCTCCCAAGGTTCCCAAAGAAGCAGGTGCAACATAATGAGACAGCAAGCTGTTCTCTGCACCCACCACTCTCAGCACACATGCAATGGGCTACAGAGATCTTGGTGAGCTACGTACAGTATGTCTGAGAGTAAGGTGTGCCCGCACAGAGGATCAGGTTCACTAGTCTACCGACTGAGGAACCTAACAGGGTTTTTACCAGAACATGTTCAAACCAACCTGCACGCTTAATATTAATTATATTTAACAACAAGTTACAAGTGTAGTGTAGGCATTTATTCTTTGACATAGCCTGGAACCTGTAGCATCCACTTAAAACATCTCTTTGACCATTATCTTTATGATTTATGGGGGGGGAGTTTCATTGTTTGTTGCTATATCCAAAGTTTTGTACAAAGTTTTTAAAGTTAATAATTCCCTTTTTATTTTATAATCTGAAAATGCTATGTTTTTATAAATATTATTTATTATACAATGTATATACCTGTATGACCGAACTAAGAGTATATATTTGAAGAATAAATTCTTGTGTCATGTTTGTTTTATTCCTTCTTTCCTGATGGTGAAAAAAGAATGTTTTTTAATTAAACACATTCCAATTCATTTGTATATGTAAACACTGAAATGGTGGAAGAAACACTAGTCAGATCAACCCACCGACTAAACATCACATAAGCCACTAACAACAATTAACCATTTCCATAGGGGAATACAAAAACATTGAAAATCTCCTGCATTCTCAGACCATACCATAGAGAACAAGAAACGAGTCTTTCTATTAATATAAACGCAATGACATCCAATCAGCCTTTTCAAAGAATGCAAGTAAGAAAATATAGTTTCATGAATTGCTAAGTTTAAAATCCCATTTAAATGCGTGCAAATCAAGATGCACGACTAACTCTAGAGTTGAAGAATTACGGAGAGACACCTGGGTACAGTAAACCTCATAGCAGGAATCACCTGGGTGACCAGGAGCAGCCATTAGTGTAACACAGGTACCCTGATGGGAGAGTAAGAAACTGCAGTTTAGGGAAACCAGATTGCACAAAGCCCACAATGGCCCAGGCACTGGAAAGAACATCTCAACTCTTAGGCACAGTGTCATAGGATCTACAAAAAGTGAGTTAATCTCAATTTTAGGTCTCACCTGAAGGGCAATACCTTCCACAGCACAGTTTCCCTGGTCAGTATACAGTACTAGGGCATTGCTTCAGAAATTTTGGTCCAGAGGGAAAAGCACCACCTACTGGTCCACCAGCACTTCTTACAACAGCAGCCTGGTTTTCCCGAGAGGTCTCACTGCCGTACTGACCAGACTCAGCCTTGTTCCTGGACCTGATTGGAACAGCAAGCAGGTTGACCGCCTATTTTGTGTTTGATATAAATAAAATATCTCAAATGACAAAGGCTAAAAAAAGAGAAGCTAAATTAAAGTACAAAATGCCTTTACTACTATAACAGTACCAAAGAGAAAAAGAAAAGTTAAAAAATATTAACAGACCTCTCTGTGTGAAAACAAACCCCTTCACATTAATCGTCTTTGCAAAGCAAAAAAAGAGTGTATTTTGAAAGTCAGGAACGCAATAAATCATGTAATAAAGGCAGTACACAAGGTAAACAGTCACTCTCAATCCCCGAACGAGCATGGAAAGAACACTAAGCAGAAGCTTTATTTCTGTGTATCTGTGCTTTTATTGCGATAATACAGTTGCATCTGGCCACACATTTCATAGTTGTAACAGCTTTGGACACCAAGCACGTTCACGGTAGAAATTCGTACAAGTCTTTTTTTTAAACTTCCGCAGTCTTAACTAAAACAATAACTCACACACACATATATATACAGTACATGTATATGTATATGTATTCACACACAGAAAAATTGCACAGTAGGTGTGCAAGAACCGTTGTTGCCTATATTAAAGGGTTGGGTTAAAACACAGTGACAATTATGCACACACACACACGTAAGAGAGTACTGGGTTTCCGATCACATAACATGCCGTAAATCTGTAACCATGTACGCCCACACACAGGGACATATGCATTATGCAGCACGTGCTAGAGGATGGACCAGAACGGGCTGACTGGCAGCCGTGTGCCACAACAGCTAGTGCACATTCCTGCCCACCTGCGATGTGGAGGCACTTTCTTTAACAGAGGCCTCGGGCTTCTACCTGGTGAAGATCTGCTGGCAAGGGCCGAGCCTGGACTTTGAAACTAGCGGATGCCCTTGATCCCAGCTGGACTCCCACGTCTCAGTGTGCTGCACTTCAGCACAAGGCTCACGGATGCATCTGCCCGTGACGGAAGGTTTAAGATTCACACAAGCCCAGGAACACAACCCACACGGACGCAGTCATACTGGAGGAGAGTGCAGAAAGCAAGCGTTCAAACACTCACTTATACTGAACAAACTGCAGCCTCCCCATACGCCCATCCTTGAAGCTACGCCAAGACAGTTCGTCAAACACCAAGGCAGGCTCTCCAACCCTACCTTCCACTTTCTCTTTGGTTGAGCAGATTAGTAAAAACACAGATAAACCCCAGTCCCTATTTTCTTTTTCTGTAGTGTTCTGTTACTCCCTAGCTTTGTGTCTTAGGAAAAAAAACAACAATAAATTCATTTGGTTTGGTAAATCAGAATATTCATGGCACCCATAAACTGCGCTTATCCTAACTCTGGGCTCAGACCCAGGCCAACACCACCTACATTTAAAGGGATAGTGTTTCTACAACACCTGTTTCCAAGGCTGATGGAAAATAATTTATTTTTCTGTAAATTTAAAGATAATTCCTTCCAAATCAAGACTGATTCTTTCAATACACCCCAGGCATGGAGGTTTTGAACCTCACTATCAATTTCGCCAAACCATAGACACGTCCAAGGAGGAAGGGCATATCTGGAGAGAGGGACCAGAGTGGGAGCAATTCATTTAGCAGCTCTAAAGGAAGCTTTGCTCCTGGAGGAATCAGAAACCAGCACAATCCTTCTCCAGTTTACTCGGTCATTCTCCGCCGGAAAACAAAAGGACAGAAGGAAGCAGCAGGGACCCGATGCATCAGAGATCCCTGCTCCTGAACTAACAGACACATGCAGTTTGCAAAGAGGTGATGGGCACTGAGATCCTCGGCTATCGGGAAGCAGAATACAGTATCTGCCCCTGACATCTTCGCTATAAGGGAGAGAGAAGATGAAACTACAGAACACCGGGTCAGTGTGTTAGCTCTCAACGAACATGAAAACAGAGGGGGCTGTAAAAAGCACACTGATGACAAAGCTTAAGGATGGATGGATTAGTAAACAGCCATTAACAAAGACCACACTACCCAGAACACAACCGAGCACAGAAATACAGACTAGGATATCCGGCATGCTGTTAGGAACAGGCATTCACTGAGAACTAGGTTTTGTCATGTACTGACACTCCTGTCCCTAGGTGTCTATACTGCCCCTTACTGGTCCAATCTAGAACTCTCTTTCCTTACATAACATAACTTCTCTGCAGTTACTTTAATCCACTGAACCATGCTGCTTTTTAATGCGCACACACACCCACTTTCACACACATGGGGTTTCTGTACCATTCAGGTACCTAAAACGGATTTAATTAGTCTCATTATATATACATATAGTCTGTGCTTGCTTAGAAGATGGTAATTGTACAATAATCCCACTCTGACAATCACATGGACTACAGAAAGGTATATTACAAGAACATTATTACTATTAATAAGTTTCAAATAAATTAGGTCAGACGCCTACATTTCCAAGGCAAAGAAATAAAACAAGTCAACACATGGAGAACTACTTTTAATGGAATGATTGTAGTCTATGCATTTTATATATATATAAGATACAAAAATATATAAATAAAACAGCAAATGTATGCATATACACGCTAACTTTATACATATACTATACACATACATGTAGGCATAATCATCTGTTTATATTTAGATATTTTATAGTGTATATATATAAAACGCATAAGAGTAAGAACGAAAAGCTCATGGGCACAGAGCACAAAGCACAGAACTGCTATCGAAACAGCTTTCTTCACAAGACAAGTGGAACATTATTTCAGTTAGCTCCGATAAGATGCGATCTCGGGAGGGAGGGCTCCCAGTTGCCATTACACACATGCAGAGTGGAGATACAGAGGCAGCTGGGGAGGGAGGGACGGCGGCGGCGTGTTTCTTCTGTCTCTCGCCCGCTGGGGTGGGTGATATGAAGGAGGCCGGGCGGCAGACTTGTCTCCTTCTCCTCTCAGTCCCAGCCTGCGGGATGCTGCCGGGCGGCCCTAATCGAAACTGCGGTCCCTGTGACGGAAGAGGGAGCAGGGGCGCCGTCAGGAGACCACGCCGCCCCTCCTGGAGGGGAGCCCCTACTCTGCAACACGCTCGGGAGCCGGGCACCCCGGAGGAGAGGGAGAGGCCAGGGACCAGCAGGCGTCTCCCCGATCTCACACGGTTCCCGTCAGGTCCTGTCTAAGGGCGACCTCTCCCTGGACAAGCTGCCGATTCTTCAAACCATTAGCACTGGTTTAAAGAGTTGTACCAAGGTGGAGTGGGTCCCTCGATCTCGGATCCGTCCTCTGTGCTCGCTAGTCATGCCAGCCTTGGTAACACGCAACGAGACTGCTGACGTTAGCGCAGTAGATTAAGGCTGATGAGTCTCGCATCTTGTGATCACGGAGGATCCCTAAGTCCTTCTACTAAAAGGCAGTTTGGAATCTAATCTGAATGTGTGGGTGATGTGTCAATGTTAATCCGCTGCCCTTTCGCTGACAGTAGCCCAAAACTCAAAAATGCAACAATACAAGACATACGGGTGATTGCTTTTTTTCACCCCAAAAAGCAAAACACAGCAGTAATGTACAAAACAAGAAGTGCTGACTCTGGCAGAAAAAAAATGAACATGTAATTACATGCTAATAGATTAACAATGAGTAACTGATGATTCCTGTTCTTACACAGAACATACTAATGGATTAAAAATAAAATAAAAGTAAATTTCCACACGACCCTAATCACCTGCCAAGAAACATCACAAAGCTGTTTTTCTTCTTCACAGAGTTAATTGCTTAAGAGCAGGACTTCAGGTACCCAAAGAGGAGGAGGCATTACACAGCCGAGATATTTGGAGAGTTTGCTTGGGGAGTGATTACTTGCATATACAGGATAGACATACAGCTGATAAAAATCAAAAGCAGAACCAAATTAACAAAATGAATTTGGTCCTGAGAGGCATATCACATGGCTTTGTGTGGAGGACCTTGGAGGTGCTGGCTATGGAGAGCAGAGGCCCCTTTTCAGGAGTGGAGAGGAATTCAATGGACACTTTCTCCTTGGGGGGAAGGGACTGGAGAGTAGAGATGACCAGTGCTGAGCACTCAACTACTGCGGGTGTTTCTGGGGCTAATTAACTCCACAGTGTTTTAACATAGGGGTGTGGGAGGGAAGCAATGTTCTGTGGATAGTGAACAGATCGTCCTCCCTGTGAATCTACAGGAACAAACTACAAGAGAAGGGGAATGGGGGGGTGGGGAGGGTCATATTTAGTGACTGAGTATCAGACCCCTTACCATAAGTGAACCCATCAGCTGGGGAGAGATCGAGGAAAGGGGGTTAAATTCGGACGTGATTAGGGTCGTCACACCTGGCGGTTACAAAAAATGGTAAACAACCAAAAAGGAAAAGGAAAAAACACTGCACTCACAGCAAACAACAAAACACGCTAATTGGTTTTTCAATGCAGTGAACAAAAGAGGAGGGTGTTTGGCGACTGGGCTGTTGCAGCTGTGCAGTCCCCATGCAGCAATGAAAGCAGTGATGAATAAGAGGAATGGAGTAGTGAGAGGGTGGTCACTGGTGCATAGGGCCTCATGTTACCAGGCTTACAGGTACTGTATGGTCAGCGGTGTTTACCCGCTAGGAGGGCCAAATCAAATCACAGCTCTAGAAGGCATAGAGTAAAAGAGAAACGAGAAGCTTTAAACGTGTTAATTAGCACGTCATAAAACTTCATAATTAGCATGTGCAGATTGTTACAGGATATTTATAGAACACATTCACATCAGAAACAATCAGGTCGATTTGAATCAAAACACCAGAATATTTGTAATGCCACATGGAGATATTAAGATGCTCCTGCTCAGTGTTTGGTATCCAACATGCTCTCGTAGGATTTGTAAAGCACAGTGAAACATCAGGCAGCTGGCGAGATTATATACTCATAGGAAACAAGACTCCGGAGATTCAAGCATGATATCTTGACGTTCCCAGTACTCTGTGGTACAGCCCAGCATGGTCCTAATACCTTGGAGGGTCATTACAGCCAAACATGAGACCAAGGCACACAGCTTGTGAGCGCTCACCCTGATGAATCCAGGAATTCATTCCAGTCACTGGGAGATTCACCAGAACTGCAGCCCTGCCCATCTCAGCTACAGATTCCTTTATTTCCCCGGCATGGTAACTGGGATGAGGAGTGTGCGAGTGTGGCGGTGTGCGAGTGTGTGCGTGGGCTATTGCTGTGACCGGTGTGAAGGTGGGGTGGGAAGACAGTAAGGCAGCACGGCTCGGATACTCACGCTCCTTCCTCTCTCAGCAGAGCCAGGAACTTGCTGACCCTGTACTCCGCATCCATCTGGAAGACAAGCAAAGAGACGCATGGGAGGCGTGAGCAGCACACTGCGGGGAAACACCAGACCCCTGTTGTGGGCATGCATGTTTCAGGACCCCAGAAAGGCATTATGTATTTCACATTTCTCATACCTCTGTGGTGGAACCAGACGCCTAGGTACAGTGAGATGCTTCGGTACCTATTCGGTATATCACCGAATTCTCCCACCTCCACAAAACCCAGCTGTACAGAATACACTCTGTATTGCTCATTCACATTACCCACTGAGGAAGATCACATATTTCCTTCTCATTTTACTGTGTCTTCGTATCTGTGGTACTGTATCGAGACACAATCTTTCATAAATTAGAAAGAATAAAAATAAGAACAAGAGAAATATTTCAACATCCCAATCTAAGAGAATATACACCATGCAAGATAAAAGCCTTGTAGAATCTAGGATCTGGTGTAAGCTTACATCCTGCATCATCTAAGCCCTGAAATGGATCAAACTGATATGCAATGGGAGTCTTATTGATTTGCCTGAACTCTGCTCAGTCTCTCGGTTAGACCTAATTTGGTTTTCCTCTTTTTTAAAGCCTAAATTTCAGAAATATACCCATCCACCAACCAATTTTCTAAACCGCTTTATCCAGTACAGGGTTGCGGGAGGGAACCAGAGTCTAACCTGAGCAATGGAGTCTTAGATGGGACACCATTCCATCACAGGGCACACACAGACACACTCACGCACACAAGACCCAGTTTGACAGATGCCAACTAATCTGCCAGTATGTCTTTGGACTGTGGGAGGAAACCCACGCGAACATGGGGAGAACATGCAAACTCCACACAGACAGCACCCCAGTGCCGCAAGGCTGCCACCGTGCTGCCCTCTTTTCTGAAACACCTTTAGTATTTTCTTGGGAGCTGTAGGTTTAGAGGTGTTCCTCACTGTCTCCACCTGGAGAGAACATTTCACTTTTTGGCTTTGCGGCCTTTTCCCTTTTTGCGAGTCCCCCTCCTGTCTCCAAGCTCAAGGTCACATTCAGGCCCACTGCAGGGTCAGTTAGAGCCCCAGGCCGGTGCTTAACAAACAATTCAGCACTTAGAAGACCGACGCTGGACCACAATGCTGGTTTTCCAGGGCGCAGACAGGACAGAGCTGTGCGGTAATTATGCACTTCAATGGTAATGCACTGAAGCACAGCCTGAGGGGGGGGTTGGTGGGGAAGGGGGGTTGCTGGAGAGGAGAGCAGCTCACGACATGACAGAGCCCGGTCATAAATCCACATGGCGTACCTGCTCTCCAGCTCCTGCCAGACACACAGGGGAGCTGCTGGCCCGACAGCTGGGAGACAGATCCTCCAAGCAGGGGAGTGGGCCAGCCTGCCTCTGAAGGGCAATCCTTCAGGACGCACCCCGAGCAAAGAGCACATGACTGCACGTGCTGAACCTGCTCTCAGCACTGCGGACCTACTAACTGCTCATAGCGTTCCTGTTGCCATGTGTGGGAAACAGTCGACTACCCAAGTAAACAAATGCACAAAGATAAAAATGTTAAAAATTGCTTTCTTGGATCTCTCTAGGACCACCACCTTTATAATGGATACTGAAGCATTCACTTCTTATTGACCTGCTATTTCAATCTCAAACGAAACAGTCCAAAGACTTTCAGCTCCTGCCACAATGTCACACTGCATGTCTGGAACCTTCTCACACTGGCTTCTCATTTGCTACGTTAGGAATAAAACTTGGCTGCCGTTTGCCGTCACAGCAGAAAGTCAGCCCTCGCAACAACAACCCAAAAAATCCCAAAAATGAAAAGTAAACACAACGCCAGACGTAATCTTTTCGCTGGCCTGTGGCTACAAGAGTTAAAACGTCAGGGAAAAAAAAAAGAGAAAAGAAAAAGGGGGAAAAGATGAACACGAGTGCAAAGTGAGCGCTGTTGCCGGGGGGGAGGATGTGTGTGTGTGCGCGCGCCGTCATGTCGGTGCAGAGCAGCAGTGCGGTGCGAGTCCCAGCAGACTCAGGCATACCGCCGGGGAAACACGGTGCGCGGCTTTAGCACATACCACAGCCATTACAGAGCTGGGCTCCACACAGAGGGGCCAGCGCCGCTCGGGGGTCTCGGATCGCTCAGGGCACGGGCTGACGGCACAGGTGACAGGGCCGCCGCCGCGCCCGTGCCTCTGACGCGCAGGCAGCGCCAGGGAACCCCACGGCCGGGCCGTTTCCAAAATCGCACCTCTTCTGCTTTTGCACACAAAAAAAAACAACCTTCCGCGCCCCCCGTCATGTGGAGGAGGGCGCATTCTGACGTGCACAGGGAACCTGGGATTCTGTAACACTCCCGCCAAGAAAGAGAGAGAACTTTAAAACAAATGCACTGTGTCAAACGCCCTGTATTTCTCAATGGGAGCCCCTTACCTGCAGAGACATCTCGATAAGCATCAGCAGTTTCTTGATGCCGATCCATACCCTCTTGCCCTTCACCTGCTGGGCGATGGTGGCCCGCTCCTTGTCCTTGAAGTTGCCCAGGAGCTGAGAGACAAGAGATCCGCTTTAGACACAGTGCCAGTTGAGGCCAGTATCCACTGCACGTATGCTGACAACCTCACTAGTGAAACAAGTTTGCTCTTTGTAGCTTTTCTGATTACCCACTCTGCAGCACCTCAAACTGCAAATTTCTCTCCTGCTCTTCTCTCCTTTTTCCATCTCTTTTCCTTCTGTCTCTTCTTGCCCTTTTCGTTCTTAAAGCACCTGTCCTGTCCTATATTCTGGGGGACACATTCATGACACCCCAAATCTCCTCCCCCCCTCTTCTAACTGCTTTCACCTCCAACACCTCTCCTTCACTCTCTCATTCTGTCTCTCTCGTTCCTCATCCTTTCACATCCCCCTTTCCCAGGTCTCTTTACCCTGCTGGCCGCCCCTCTCCCACTCTCTCTCGTGACCTCTCACCTCCAGAGCCTCGATGAGATACTCCCCAGACGAGATGTTGGGGATGTGGATGGTGGTGCTGAAGGCGTCCAGCATTTCCATCTCCTGCAGGACATCCTTGCGGCTAGTTGTGCCGATGATCAGTAGCTTGCGGCCCTGATGCAGGGAGAGAGACAGCACACCCGGTCACATGGGGGCAGACCTCCAACAGACCGCAACAAACTATTCATAATGTAGCGCAGCAGCAGGAAATCATAGCCTCATCACTGCACTTTGGGTCTTTGTTATTAATTATTTAAGATGCCTTAAAAGGGTTAACTAGGTGAACCAATTTCTTGTCACATTCATGTAAGACACGAACAGTTTATAAACCATGAAAAATGTGACATTTTCAATAGCTGCCTTGACATACAGGTCTTATACTGGTGATACAACACCATGCAGAAAACAGAACAAACACAAAACCAGCACCATCTGGTAGCTTGGTCCTGTTCATTATGCAGTGTCTTGCATACAGTAGGAGTTGGAGTGTTTGGGGATCTGCCATTAAAATATGGCAGAAACCTGGTAAGACATTTAAAGAAAAGTATCAAGCCAAGAGATGATTCTATAATGTGCTGTATCAATTCTGTGCATCTGTTGCTAACTAATCCATCATCCTAGCCTCTCTGAGCTTTTGTCTGCCCGTGAATGGGTCACCCTGTTCAGTTTGAGCACAGCACTGGAGCAACACAGATGAGTGACAGCTCCCCAGAGAGAAAAGGGTTAACCAGGTGCTGTTTATTTTCCGAGAGGCTGGGAGTGGTGCTTCCCCTCTGAGCACACACGCCAGGAAAATAATTATCTCCCAGCCATCACTGAGTATAATAATAGAAAGGAGATCAACACAAAAACATTATCTGTTTTTGTACAACTGTTAACCAGACACAACCAGGGGACCAAAGAAGGTGGGGGTGTGAGTGCAAGTTGTGTCATGAGGAGCTCTGTGCAAGTCCAACCAGGACACAGCCTAATACATTGTGTCAAGAGACAAGTTTGTGTCAAACAACTTATTTCCCAACATTTAAACTGATTAACTGCATAGCATGCTTATGCGGTTTGTACAACTTCCCAGAATGTGAATACACAGCGACTCTTCTGGAAGTGTGCACTTCGCAGTATGCTGCTCCACACCTGCCCTGCCAAGTATACAACTCCAGTGCTACGTCTCTGCCTATACGCCCTGCTTCTACATGGTGTTCTAGATCTGTGGCAGCCTAGCATGCACAAGCCTGTTAAACATCCTGTGTACATGCAAGAGAGATTTTGTGAAACTCCAATTATATTTTAATCTCTCCTAACACCAGGTTAGACACATTGGCTGTTTTACTTCGTGATGACAGCATAATGATTTTAACTCCCTCCACTCCCCCCCAATGGGACAGGTTTTCGGAGCTGTGAAGTAAATGACAGCACTGCAAAAAAAATAGCCATGAGCACTGGGTTGGTGAGTATCGTGCCTCATTGAGTGAACGCTTAAAAGCCCAAAAAACATCCCGAAAAGAGAAGCAATGAACATCACCTGCCCTGGGTTTAAGTTTTCACAACGGCCAAAAACCTGTGGGAAAATTGCACCGCCCCAGAACGTCAAACTAAACTCCCCCAGCCCTCAAGAGCATGGATGGTAACACGAACGGATTTCAGAGCACAGCAAGAACGTGCTCACTCTCCGTCAGGAAATAAAAGTCCACTGCAGCCAAAACAAAGGAACGAAACATAAACAAGCACATCTGAGCTCGGCTCCTTCAGTGATTCCGACTGTTCTTCGGGAGTTCATTAGCAATATCCGCTACCTTTGCGCTCTCCAGTTTCACACTTTAGTTTAGGGATACAGTATATCGGCAACTGCTGCGCTTGTATTGCAGAACAGATGTGTTGCCAAGCCATCCAGGAGATCCTGAAGCATTAGCTACCAGGAAACTCCCGTTTCTCAGCTCTGGGGTCCTACGTTCCAGGACCTGGGACATTATTTCTACCCCCCCCCCACCAGCTCAGCCCCCGTGGCGCTGGGTGTGAGCTTGCATGCAGATGAGGTGCCACACAGACAGCCAGCCTGGCAGGGCCCGGCTCTCTCACAGGACTCTTTCTCCTCTGCCCCGGCGCCCCGCTGTGAGGCCTGCTTTTCAATCCCCTTCGCTCCGCAGAAATACCTCCGCTTCAATTCAGGGCACAAAACCCCTCTCTCCGTACACAGGCCCGGAAAAACACTGGGAGCTTACAGTTAACCCCTTCACGGCCTGGAAGCGTGAGGCCTATAAAGGTCTCGGCGAAGGGGGTGGGAGAGTGTTGGGGGACTAGGGGCTTTCTCGCTGTTTTCTTTGACAAATTGATTCCCATTTGATTAATTCCTCATATAAAAAGAGATTAGATCATGCCTTTGTAAGAGACGAGAAGCTAGTACTGTTAATTGAACAAAATACTCTGGATTATGGAGTTTAAATGTCAGCTGAATTACCAAGTCTAATTATGAAACTGCTTGCAATTGCAAATGAACACCTTTAGATTACTCAGGTCTTCTGATAATTAAATTCAAATGAAATGACATGTTTAATAGTGTAATAAAAATGGAAATGCGAAACATGTGACATCTTGTGTTACAGGACTGGTCAGCCTCAGCATGTGTGCGCCTGTTTGTGCCACTGGTAACAATATAGTTAGCTTTCTAACAGAATGGCAAATAATTCCCTTTTTTGCAAGAAGTAAAACTCAACACATAATAACAACATAGTGTGCACAATTGTAAAACACTTAGATTCACAGGTATAGATTTCTGTCTCATTTCAGGTACTGCTCTGAAGGACATTTTGTCCTCTTTACCTGTAAAAGGAAGGAAATGCTACATTTAGTCCATACTGCAGTTTTTCCCTAGTGCGGGTACTAATAATTTGTCTTGCCCAGTGTGATTCGGGAAGAAATCATTAGGCTCAGCCAAGAACTGCTGCCACCTATCTGTCACTTGAAACCTCACACACTGGGTACAGGAATCATCCCCACACACGCATACAGATGTGCACTGGTTCCAGCTGCACTGGGCAATACATGAGAAAAGCCTTCTACAGCCCGCTGAGAATGATTCGGCAAGAATTCCTGGACTCACATGAGGAGGAGCCTTCTTCAGCAACACCAGCAGTGCTTGCAGGACCAGGTTGGAAAAGCGTGGCCCAATAGGAACATAGTCTGTGAACAGAAACATGATACAGCACGTAAACGATTAATGCAAGCCTGGGGAAGAGTAAGCACTGCAGGACTGATATAGAGACATCAGTTTCCTGCAGAGGCTGCATGAAGAAACTTCTCACTTTCTGTGAACTGATGGATATTAACAACAACAGGTAGACTTTTAATGCCAGACACCTGAGTTCCTCTTCTCGTCCTCGTCAGGGGGGTTTGGAATTACAAGAGGAGTCTGCATGTCTGTGGTTGACATAAATCACAGCCCAGCCTGTTTATTACGCGTTTATTAGAGTTGGTAGCTATCCAACAAGTCATGGCATCTTCAGATCTAAAGCCTAAAGCCTGACAGTCCATTCATTAGGGCGCTGCTGCAGCAGTAAAAGCCGGAACGTCTATAGTTCTGATGAGGTAAGGGATTTTGTTCTGGTGCTCCCTGTCTCCAGTCCCGTTATACTGTGAACAGAGGTTCGGGGGTGTGTGTGTGTGTGTCATGCCTGTGGATAATTAGTGAGCTCACGATCCTGGCGCCTCCGCTCCCTGAAGGGCAATGTGCCAACTGGCTGAAGGCAGAACTTGAGGTCAGGGCTCATGTGCCTCTGTACTGTATGTGCCTGTACGTGGAGGCCTGGTGAGAGGGAGAGAGCTGAAAAACCTGCAGGGGCAAGCCCAGACTTCGCTCTTACAGCGCATTATCAGGACATTATCTGAAACTGTTCTTGGCGACACAACACCACAGGACTGTACCGATTTTGAGATTTTCCTACGATGGGAGGCTGGTCTTTTTAGAGTAGTATAATTCAGCGTTGCCTGAGGAGACAGTGTACGATCTGGGGCTGGGAAGTCCTTGAAGAACTTCTTAACAAAGGCCAAGGGAGCTTCAATTGTTTCCTGGTGCCTTTCTGGGCTATTGACGTCAAGAGCTCAAAGCCCAAACGAGCCCCATTAACATAAGGTTACAGATGCATTTCCTTAACTGCTCCTTAAAAAGATGCAGGACCAGTTCCTCCTGAAAACAGGTTCTCTGTCCATCCATAGAACAAGAAGATCACAAACTGAACTACAAAGCAAACTGTTTTACAAAGTTCCTCACTCCAACTAGCAAGGTTAAAGAGAACGCCCTTTTCCAGAATGCAAGGAAAGAAGGTTCTCTTCCGAGGTTTATCAATGCTTTGGATCTTCTCTTTAGAAGCCCTCTGACATCCAGAGGTGCTGGTAGCCTATGGATGTGGGCTAAGGCTCAGAGGAAGCTACACTGATACCCTTAACATTAATCCTAGTTAAAAACCCAGTCCACCCCGTGAGAGATTTGCAATGCTGTTGAATACCGATGGACTAGGTGGCCCGAAAGGCCTCCTCTTGTTTGGAACCATTCTAATGTTCTTACGGATTTTTCTTGCCATGTGTCATTTTTTCCTAATAAATAAAACTACCAGACAAGACTCCTATTGAGCAGCAACACTTCATGCCCCCAGAGGCTGCACACCTAATTTCTTTGGATAAATCACACTTAAAATGAACACACAGATCAAAATATTTCACAGAACTGCAAGAAATGAACAGGGGGATTTCAAAGGCAAGAACTCACCTAGCAGACGCTCAATATCATCCACCACCACACAGCTGAGCTGGGACTTATAGGCATCATCAAACACCTAAATTAAAGAGAGCAATGCGCTGCATTATTTAAAAAGGCACAGCTGGAGAAACAGCAGCTTGCGCTGCAAATGTTCAGAGCTGGTGCTGCACATCCCACAGCCTGTCCGATGTAAGTGTGCCTGAAGAACTGATGAAAGGACACGGCTCAGTGCCTTTTAAACACGTGCAACCCTGGCCGAACAAAAAACTGAGCTGACGTTTTCCTGTAATGTGGGATATGGTTGCAGTAATGTAAAAATGAACATAGAAACCAAGGGCTACAATGCAAGTGGAAAGGTTCTGCCAACCTTCTTGATGGCCTGACACTTGGCGATCTCTGAGAAGCCAATCATCTTGTCTGGGGAGCAGATCTTGATGAAGGGGAACTGGGACTCCTCGGCGATCTTGGCGGCTAGGGCCGTCTTGCCGCTGTGGGGGGGTCCTGGGTGAGGCAGGAAGGCAACCAGCACGTTAAGGGATCAGTCAACCACACGCACATGAAGAAAAGCCTGGAACAACTTTATGAAAAAAGGTGAAAAATAAAAACAACACACAACAGGATGAAGCCTGTTTGTAAGTCTGACTGGATCGATTTTTTTAAATTTAAATAATACTGCCATCGCCAATTAAGCGTATACTCACTTATTGGGAAAATGCCAGCTTTCATTAAGTGGGCTTTGGGAATGCAACTCCTGTACTGCTCTGGAGAGGACAAGGCTCTTCGCCCTGCACGTCTGACACGCCCACCTGCACCGCCATTTGTCACTTGACACTCAGCAAGCGGTCAGTCAGCAGTGGAGCTGACTGGAAAAGACCTGCTGCTTTGACATAAGCTCAAGGCCCCGGGTGTCCACAGCACTCGTAGGAGAAACCGAGAGAACTAACTCTAGATCCAGTGCTCTCAACCTTAGTTTTTACCTGGCTCTTGAATGGCGGTGGTGAGCAGACTTTTGGAGACAGAAGATTCGAAGGGGCCGAGAATTGGGGTGACACTTTGTTGTTGACGTGTGTGGGAGTGAGAGCAGTGGGGGGGGGGGTCGGAGGTCAAAAGCCGTAGGTGGTCACTCACCCTCCAGCAGCACGCTGACCAGGGGAGTGCGGTCACTGTTCTTGGTCTGCTGGACCAGCAGCTCTCCATCATCCATTATCCGGGTCACTGGGTCGCCCCACTTGATGATGCCGTTCATGATGTAGCTGGCGTAGTCCTCCTGGTTCGTGCCAAAGGCCTGCGGAAACACGGAGCAAGGGGGGTCAGACCACCCTCTTAACTGTTGGCTGGTAGCAGCAATGTGGCGGACTGTGGCACATGTTTAACTCACAGGCTTGATGTCATTGTCCAGGGAGGCTAGGAAATCACTGCGCTTCACCTGCAGCTTCTCGGCCTTCTCCATGTCCACCTCCACCTTGTTAGTAGCCTATTGGGAAGAGAGAACAGGTCAGAACAGCTGAGCCCTGCACCGTAACTGACTGAGAATCCCTACTTAGTTCTTTGCTGCTTTTACAGTTGTCCTATGATTCCTTCCATTCTATAGGGTCTACAACTGCTGGCTCCCAGCCAGGTGGAAAGGTAATTGGATACTAAATACTTTTGTATTTTCTGCGCTGTCAACACATAGCTTTGTTCTGCTTCATATCAGAAATACAAGATGCACCGCTGGGCCTTTAAATTGCAATGGAAGACGTACGTGTACAGTACAAGCTGCATCACTCACTGAACAATATTTGTTGTCACACTGCAACAATGTTAGCAATAAGGTACTGAAAAAGTGTTAGAACTCTCCTGATCAATTTCGTTAAGATTTATTCTTAATTTAACACAAGACCAAAAGACTAACTTTCATTATAGAAAGCAAGAATGTCCGTTGCAGAAATGCCAACACGAGAAAACAGCCACCTTGGCTGAAAAATGACTTAAAGAGCATGATGTTGTGTTTCTGCTGCCTGAGCCCGACTGATGTTATGAATTCACTGGGAGTAGAAGCAATGGTGGGAAAAGTGAAGAATGACAGGTTTAAAAGTCTGAGCCGGGATCGGCACCCTCACAAGCCAGTAAAATCAGGCAGTGCGGAGGCTGCAGTCATTCCACCTGTATGAGCACAGACCCGTGCATTTCAACACTATCAAATATCAAAGACAGCAAGAGACTGAGACAGAAGCAAGTGTTTTCTGGTTATGTGCCTGCGGTCAGCCACTCCACACGGAGACAGTTCCTGGGCTAACACACGTGAGAGTGTTGTTGTGTATGCAGAAATAAACCCCTGCAAGAGAAAACTGCTTGACCCGCACGGCAATGGCGTGACAGAGCCAGACAGTGACAGCAGTGCAGGAATCATTCTGCTCCGGTTTTACGACCAATTTCTCCTTCATTCCGAGCGGACACTCTGGAGTCAAGGCTGGAATTCATCGTGGGATAAGAGATGGGGAGGCATCGGATTACAGGCAGCAGCCAACTGGATCGAGTGACCGTGGGGGAGAGGGGGAGGGGACGGGGTGCGTGCAAATCTCATCCTGGCAGTCTGCCCTAGGGGAGCCTGGTGCAGGGGTGGGTGACTGACGGGGACACAGGCAGACTGACTGGCAGAGGGGCAAAGCAGTGGCTCCAGCTAATACGCAGCATTACAGGGATATTAACCAGCTCCCATGCTTCTGAATGGACAAAACTGACACATGTCAGCCCTCCTAAACTTCTGTGCCTTAAGCTTTTATTGCAGTGCCATGCCTGACTCTCAGCACTACAAGGCACTGATACAGCACAGTGGCTAAGCATGAAACTGTGTTCCTTCACTTGCGCTTAGCACATTCACAGTCAGCACCTCTCCTGCATTGGAACCGAGTTTCACAGTGCTTGTGGTGCAGTAACACTCTTCCAAGGATATGTCTCAAGGATGGAGGATTTGAATGAGATATTAGGGATTTTATTAAATTATTCAAAATTTCCAGAGATACGTCATGTCTAAATACATCCTAAGGGAAGACTACTGAAAGATGCATATTTTGATGCTTCAAGGACTAAAAATAAGAGTCCCCACTTGACACAAATGGTCATTCAAGTTGTTGAGGACGACAATGTGTTATTCTTCAAATGATGGCTGGGTGAGATTAGAAATGGCAAGAGAATACATCAGATGTGCTAAGTAGCTTCTTAATATTATTAACATAATTACATGGTGCCTTTGCATGGCTGTAGTGCAGTGATGCAACAGTGGCTGTGCTCCTCGGGTTTTATTCTATTAGACTGCAGGTCTGGGAAGACGGTGCTGACCTTGATGTGCCGGTTCATGGCAGTGGACTGGGCAGCCCTCACCAGCCCCTCCAGCTCAGCACCGCTGTAGTTCTTCGTCTCCACAGCCAGCTCCTGGACGTCGACGTCCGGCGCCAGCAGGTGGAACTCCCTCATTTTGGACGTGTGGATGTTCAGGATCTGCAATCGGCCCTTCTCATCCGGCAGCCCTGGTGGGAGGGACAGAGAGGGGATGAGGTGAAAGAAATGAGGGTGAAGCCTGGGGAGAAGAGGGCATGGAAAAGAGAAAAGAGGGGAAGAAGGGAGCTGATACAGAGAAGGAGTGAGAGCGATGATACGCAGGACGAGGGTTTCAGTGAAGGGCAGAAGGAGAGAGAGGGAAGGAGGTGCAGGAGACAAGAAGAAATGCTGAAACACCTGTATGAGTGTGGGTTTAGGTTTCCCCCAGACTCTTACCGATTTCCATTTTCACCTCCAGCCTGCCAGGTCGCAGCAGAGCCTCGTCGATCAGGTCAGGTCTGTTGGTCATTCCTGCAGGACAGAGACAGAAAGAGCTCTGAAACACACACACAGAGTATGCATTGCACAGCAGCGTAGACTGCAGTATTACGCACGAGAAGCTCCCTCTGGAAATAAATATGTATATACAGTAGACCTGCTGTACGCGGTACTCTTTGCACATCACTGCATTAACTAGCCCAATCAAACAATAGCGCGGAACAGGTGTCTTGCTCATCAGTACAAGGAAATCTGACCAAAATTACAAATTACAAAAGTATATGCTCTCATGAATGCAGAACAGTGTCAGAACAGTGTCAGCAAAATTCCATTTACCTCCTACTGCTGATAACTGACCACCTAAATATCCTATACGTAGAATAAAATGATCATTGCTACATGCCAGGATTGAACACAAGGCTATAATGTCCTTCCAAATTAGAAACCAAGCTGAGATTATTCCAGCCTGTGACATTGGGATGGTTCCATTGCAATGGCACTGGAATGGAAAGGTTGCCTTTCGCAAAATGAAGCCTACACACTCGATCATGACTGCTCAGCATGCAATATGCTACGTTAACACAACCACACCGTCAACTATTCTTGTGAATCTGTAATTAACAGCTGGCTGCAGCAAAGCAGGGCAGGACTGGAAGGGCACCTGCACTGAGCCAGCCAACAACTGTACAGCCTTCCCTGGTAACCCACCCTCAAACGCCATTCATTACTCATCCATAACTCTGGACGCTAATTGCTCACTCCCCCATCTCCTGATTACCTTGCAATTAAGGCAAACCCTGCAACTCTCTTCTATCTTCTTCCAAAACTACTCTCAGCCCTCAAAGTCACGTCTGTCACCAACCTCTCCTGAACCTCGGCCCCCTTTCTTATGTTTGGTGAAGCCCTACGTTTGCCTCCCCCTGACCCCTGTGTGACCCCTCCCCCCTCTGACCCCTTCTTGTCCCCCACTGCCCCAGCGCCTTTGACCTCTGTGCTGTCCTCTTCCCCTCTGACAGTACCTATGACCAGGATGTTGTTGAGCTGCTCCACGCCATCGATCTTGGACAGCAGCTGGTTAACCACCGTGTCATGGACCCCCGTACTGCCCGCCATGCTGCCCCTCTGCTTGCAGATGGCATCGATCTCATCAAAGATGATGATGTGCAGCCCGCTGTTGGCACCCAGCTGAGCAAGGAAGAACAAGAGACAGAGAGCAAGAGAAAAAGTGAGATGACAAAGAGAGGAGCCAGTCTGTATGCCAGATGAGGGCTGGGTGCAGTTTCAGTCACCAGACAAACTGGTGCTGGATGCTGAAGTATAAACGAGCTATTGTTGAGTATCAAGGAGTCGGTGCAAAATATGTTTTTTAACAATAAAAACGGAAGGTATTTTTTTGACTGAAAATGGTAGGAATGTTTAAGGGAAGCGCCATTGATGGAAAATATATTTTTTTTTACACACCAAAAACCCGAAAAGACTAGTCTTTTGTCATCTTAAATACGCAACATAATTATTGGGGGGGGGGGGGGGGACTATTAAAAAGCATGGAGATCCACGGCTCTAAAGAGGTACCAGATGCAAATCCAGACACAGAACCAGACCTCAGCAGAGAAACTAACTCCACATACCTACATCTGTCAACAAAACTGTCTCTTAGGATACCATCACGCTAGCTATATAAACTGTCCCCAAATAACAACACTCAGGGGACTGCCAGAAACATGACCTTCTCGCTATCTCCTGGGTTCTGTCAGCAAGCCCCTGCTACCCGGTGCTGTAACATTTAAGCAGGTGTGGGGGGACGTGATGAGCCAGCAGGCTGGCGAGTTCGCCCCTGTCTCTGTGTGCTTGTGAGCTTGTGAGGAGATAAGGCCTTCCTCATTACAGCTGAGGAGAGAAGCTGTCACTCTCTCGGTCTGCAGGTTGGACACGCAAGAAGCCCAACACGACTGCAAAGACCAGGCCACAGCGCAACACTCAGGAAATCTCTGCTGTGGAGGAACTCCTCCGGAGTGCACAATGACAAGAGATTTAACCCCTTTCTTCCCAACACAACCAAAGCTAAGACAGATTTCTCCAGCTCTAGGAAGGGAAAGGAAAACAACACCCATAAACCACTTCCATGTTTGTTATTATGATGTCCTTCCTGTTGGCAATCGCCAACCACACCGCCAAGCAAAGATGGAGCCCTCGGATCTCTCACCCTCTTCTGCTCCTCCTCCGCGTCGGCGAAGAGCTTGCGGATGTTGGCCTCGGACTCGCCCACGTATTTGTTCAGGATCTCCGGGCCGTTGACCACTTTCGGCTCCCGGGCGTTCAGCATCTTCCCGATCTGTCGGGCCATCAGGGTCTTACCGCAGCCTGGGGGTCCGTACAGCAGGATGCCCTTCACGTGCTTACAGCCTGGAGAGAGAGAGGACCCCAGCGCTCACTGCCACTACCAGGTCTCCTTTTCTTCCCTCCCACCCTGCACAGCTGGAACACTGCCTATCCGCCATGTGCCAGGGGTGTCCCAGCCTCTAGGGAGCAGCATTAAGGGGTGCACCTCATAGCTCGGGGCTCCCTTCCATTTCACCTCACTTTGAAGGGCATCTACAGTGGGGTCTTGCTTGGACTGTTACGAGTTCATTGCCAGCAGCCAGTATTTCAATCCTAAAGCTCACACTGAAAAGAACACCGAGCACTGCCAGTCTTCTAGGGCCATTTAAGGTTAAAAAAAAGATAGTTTTGCTGGAGGCTGCCTAGAAAAACTACAGAGTGATGAAACTGTAAGTGATGGACCCACTCAATATTTAATTAATCTCATAATACAAAAGTGGCAGGCATCTTCTTCACAGGAATTTACCATTCTGTTAATGTAATGTATTAACACATTTGGACAGTCAAAAGAAGACAGACACACCAATAAAGATCTGTCCTTTGAACGAGGGGTTAAACCCCCAAGATAAACAAGGTTACCAGGATGTTATAGACCAATATCACTGTGAATGTCCAGGGCTGATGGTTGGTTAAAAGACTGGGGCTGGGTTTTTTTGCTTGCACAGCTGTTGTTAACTTTGCACACCCTAATGCATGGAAACTGCCATCGCTGGAGAGTGTAGACGTTTATTTAATTTTAACAATCTGCTGTTATTTTTTTTCTTAATCATAACTGTCACCTGTTCTTTTTATGTTTTTGTGCATTTTTATACTTTCTATTTTATTTGAATTGTTTTGTTAGGGATGCTTTACTTGATATATATGCCACAATGCACAACTATTGATCATTTGACTAAATAGTACAACAATATGGAGTCGAGTTTTAAATACAAGTTTGTTCTAGGCTGAAACGTCTGAAAATAACCCACAGGAGAGAAAGGATGAAAACAACTGTTTTTCAGCTGCGAGTTAACCTGTCAGCCAACTATGCAAATTTATTGTGAGACATTGGCAGAGGACTAATATGCAATTTTGTAAAATACTCCACTTGTATACATAATGCATGCACTGTCCACCTTATTTAGCAGAAGAGACAGATACGACAGGCAGAAGCTCACTCTTTGTTCAGCTTTGCCATGCCCGAAAACATCCCCGGAGGCTCCATTTTCCTATACAGAACTGACACAAGCATGAACTTCAAACACCATTCGTGCTTCTTGATCTGCATCTCCTGGACAGGTGAGAATCCCAAGAGTCATAAAAAATTGTAGAAAAAATACAGTTTAAGCCTCCCTCCCTTACACGAAAAGTCCCTTTTCAGCATTAGTCTGATTCATAAATGAGACCTCAGACTTGCTGTCAAAAGCTAAATAATTATCAGAGGGGGCTAATGCAAGTGAATAATAATAATAATAATAATAATAATAATAATAATAATAATAATAATTATAATTATAATAATAATGTGAAGACATATTGTCTTAGAACTGTACAACAACTCCATTCAAGGGCTAATTTAATTTCCTAAACCTAGGAAATAAGAATCATTCTGATTTCTGGGAAAAAAATACGGATCAGGCCCAGACCGACACTGATGTTTCATTATCTTATGAGAAAAAGTTCAGGTACAGTGGGGTTACGAAGGCCTCCATCGGAACAGACATTACTGTCCGCTCGCTCCTGTGACGTCCGCAGACACCTGCCTCTCCACACCTGCGCTCTGTGCACTTTGCAAGAACGCTCTCACCTTTATCTATCAGGAGAGCCGATCGCACAACAGCAGCCAGCTGCCGGGTCTCCCAGTCGAAAGCTGGCTAAAGCCCCATTTCTAAAAGGTCATCTTAAACACACGTGGGTCCTGCGGCACGCTGATCGCGAACGCTGCAAGGGGCCGTTTATTTCAGAGCCAGGCGGCTGAAGCTGGACCAAGCAACTGGCCAGCATCTCCTTTGCAGAGCTATCAAGACAGAGGCTCATGCCGATGCTGTACAGGGACAGAGCGATTTAAAGAAACCAGATCCAGTTGCACTAAAACCTTGCTTGCCAACTAGGAGGAATAAACCAGTCTTTTTCTGTTCAACAATATAATATCTGTATTTTAATCGGGAAAAAAAGCAGGTGGCCGGGTATTTGTCTTAAAACCTTTAACTATGAGCCTATCACCAGGGAGGCCACCTTTGCAGCCATTTTTAAAGTGAAAATGAAAACACATTTTTTCAAACTATTGGTTTTCAGAATAGCATGAAGGATTCTCACTATTAGTTAGCACTGGCTATAATAAGCTACTGCATTTACTGAGACATCAGCATTTTTGTATATTATGTTTTCAGAGCTGTATAACTGCTTTGATTACTTTTTAGAAATTGCTTTCATTTTTGCCTTTCTCTTTTACACTTTTCCCTTATTGTTCAGTGGTGTTCAGTGCTTTTGAGAGACTTGATTCATTCAACACATACAGTAAACCTAATTTTACTTTAACTGTAGCATGCGATCTCTCTCCTTCAGTTTTGCAAACTCTGGAACAGCAAGGAAGCAGCACATTCACGTTGTTCATGTTTGTCTTTGCAATCTTCCTCTAACTAAATTCCCACTATCCCCCCGACAAATCATGAATCCATGTCAGCAAAAATGCTTCACACAGACCATTCTGTTGTTTACTTGTAAATTAAGAGGGAAAGCATAATTTCCCTCTTTGCTGATATATGGTGGAAGCAGCTAAATCAATCTTTTTTCAGTCACCGAGAAACTGAACATCTTCCATGAGTTGTTCAAGGCAGAAAAAGCAAATTCCACAAAACATTCCTGCATACATTCCTACGACCTGAGCAGGTCCTGAAGGCATAAGGCAGTGAGGCGGGCTGCATGTGGGATAAGCCCTTACAGAAGTATATCCAGCAAGAGAGCTGCTTTTTTCCTACACTTTTACCACCTTGCTTTGACAGCACTCCCCTGAGCACTGCCATGCATTTGCAAACGCTCGAGAAAACGTCTTGCTTCTGCAAGACTGGGGTCAGCATCGAGATTTTGCGCACGAGGCTTCACGAGGGCTCGCAGAGTAAGACTGAAGTCACAAAAGGAAAGGCTCCCCGGAGGAGTACTCACCCATCTGCTCCACGATCTCGGTGGGGAAGACCCTGGAGGCGAAGGCTCTCCTGAAGATGTCGGAGAACTCCTTGTCCAGGCCACCGATCCCCATGCGCTCGAAGTTCCAGTCAGGGTTAATGATGGACTGACGGCCCTGCTTGGTTTTGGCTTTGCCTTGGAGGAAGGGAAGAGAGCACACAGAGCATTGTTACTTCACCCCTTCACCGCCTCGTGCTCATCTTCCAGCTCTTAAAAACCAAGTTTAAAAACTGTAAACACCTATTATCGTGATGCTAACCCAGTTTGGAATTGCAAAATGCATGGGGCTCGGCTCTAGAGTGGCAGCTCATACACCACACCGCTCGGAAGAAATCGCGCCCACAGAGCCATCAGCCCGGTGACATCTATGAGCTCCACAGCGACTGACAGGGGAGCTGACGCCAATCCGAGGGGCGGTTGTTCCCTCACTGGCTTCACTGGAAGCCTGCAGTCGCCTGGGAAGAGGCAGGAGTTGCAGTCTAGCAGCAAAGTAGGCTTTGCTCAGCTGTGCCTGTTGGGAAATCCCGGTCACAGTCGGCTAGTGACTAACAGGACTCAGCCAGTGAGCTGCAGTGAGGGTGCAGTAAAAAGACATGGCACAAAGCACCCAATACTGTGTGAAGTTAAACCAAATGTGTTGAATTATTCCTCTTATTTCTAGAAACAGAAAGTTACTTATATGTAAAATTCATATTTTCCACTATTCTATTTTATTTTCTATTTTAATTTATTGGATTGCCTTTTTAAATAAAAACAACATCTGGGTGTGTTTGATGCCAAGGTTTTGTAACCACACCTCAGTAATCTTATGCTGCAAAGCATTCACACATCGCAAACTGGAAATAAGATGGGTGTCTGCTGCCACCTGGTGGATCTGTCCATACTGCAACTACAAAAAATGATTCTCAAATGCACTCATAAAAGTTCAAATTAAAAGTCAAAAGTAAGATTTAGATAGTTTTGTATTCATAACTGCACATTTTCAAGCTACAAAGATGTATTAACTCTGGTGGTTCCAATAATTTGAAATCAATTTTAACAGCATTACTGTAGTTATTTAGGCCTTTGCTCCTTCACTCTGATGTGGTGCCCCCTGTGTTAAGTCATGTGCGGCGTGTGTGTGTAGGAGACGGACCAGAGCTAGCTGAGAGACTGAGGGTGATGGACTTACCCACAAGAGTGAGGGAAGAGCTCTCCGCTTTCTCAAAAATCACCTGACTGTTCCCAATCACCAGACCAATCTCAATCTGCGGAGACCAAAAACAAAGATTAAACCAGACTGCACCTTTTGGACAGAGAGGACTGGGGGAGACGCCAAGGATGTGGGATTTTAGACCTGGATCCTTGTCTCATAGGAGTTCGATCATTTATTTTTTATTTGAAAGTGGTGTCTAACAGAGAGACATGAATGAGAGAACAACGTTGGATGATTATAACATAAATACAAAAAAAGAGTACAACTAAAATACAGGAATATTAATTCCCAATAAATATTAAGAACATGGGGACTAACCTTTAGATCACAAATATCTGGCAAGACAGATTCATACTTGATGCTTGTGCAAAGCACCCCCAACCACTGTACCTGCTACTCAGTATAAATGTACAAAGCACCACTGGAATAAAATTACAGTCAGAGCCCACTGACGCTGCTCCTGCCTGGGACTCATTCTTGGCGTACCTTGTGCTTCTTCCCTGACGCTGGCTCCCCCTTGAGGATGCTGGGGTCCATGGCTTCGATGTCCTTCACCAGCAGGCCGAACAGCTTGTCGCAGAAGCTGAACACCAGCTGCAGGGGGAAACGACCACAGGGATCAGGAGACGGAGACCAGAAAGGACATTCTTGCAGCACCTCACAGGGAAGGCGGTATTGTTCAGCACCGTGGCTCAGCGTGACTGATCATTTCCAGCAGCACAGCACTGACTGCTTGCAATAAATGCAGCTTTACAACAAAACCGAATCATTAGAACTGACTTATTCACAATAAGTTCTGAACCACTGGTGCACATGAATTTCACCCATGTTTATAAAAATCCTACACACAATAAGCACTGAAGAATATTAAGTATAGGTCCTAATTCAACAGAACCAGTAGGTCACAACACACTGTAATGACAACACCTGCTGCCCATATGGTTTGCATTTCTCAGCACTAAGATCCTAGTCTTTACTTACTGGTCCACAAGGACCCTTTCTCATTGCCCACAGTGTGCACCAGCACACGCTACCTGATTGCCCCAGTTCTGATGGGTATCTTCTCATTATTGAGGACTGTCTTGCCAATACCTGCTGTCCCACGGTGAAGGCCTGGTTGTTGAACTGCTGGATGAACTCCCCGGCCATCTTGTCCGAATCATAGGGGCTGTTGTCAACATTCTTCTTCTGCAAGAAGTCTATCTCGATGGTCATGGTGCCAATGCACTGCTTTGACTTGTCAAAGATGTAGGAGAGCACTGTAGGAAAACGAACACGGCCAGGCGAGGGGGATTACTATACGTCAGCAGAGAGACGACATAGAACATGCTATTCCAGTCAGGGTTAATGATGTAAATGAGGTGGAACCAGATGCCCAGAAATACCTGGACTGCTGCACCATCTCCATCCCCCTCCCAGAGTCACACCTGAACCCAGCTGTTCCGATTGTGCATCTTACGTTTGGAATTCTGGTGCCTTGTACTGCACTGCCTTCGCTTCAGCTACCAAGGACCATGCTTTTAGATCCCCTGACAGAAGTCTTCATTGCTAAAATCACAATAACTTTCATTTTATATGTTGCATAACGTTAAATGATTGCATTGACTGATGACTTCTGCTTATACCAGTCTAATTTATATGTCACATGTACGCTCAGCGTAGTGTCCAACACACATGGGCCCCTTGACTAGGCTTCATGTTTTAAGAATGCAGCATTGAAGAATATACTATATACTTCGAACCCTATACTGACACATGCTTTTCCATTTGCCTGCACTACCACAGAGAAAACAGATGAGAAGTTATTTAACTCCTGCTTCACACATCCCCTTTCAGTGGCCCTGGGCAGCCCTCTGACGGAGCACAAGGACCACAGTTTCACTCTAGACTCACAGCTGAACTGCAACCTCATTGCCTCCTCTCCACAACTTTGCAGAAACAGGAGGCAGAGGCGCTAAAATACAATTCACTGCTGGTGCGACTCTTGTCATGTCTCGCGGTGAGGCAGCTCTCGTCACCTTGTCAGCTTCTCTTCTTCATTTCAGTGTTTTATTGCTGCTGTAGGAGCAGTGACAGTGCGGCCTAAACAGCTCCCGATCGCTGTCCGGGTAAGTGATGGTGCTGAAACCTCATAACCGGTAATATCACAACTGACACATTGACTTCACAACTGAAGTGAACTGCAGAATTAGAAAAAATAATTCAAACAAAGCTCCACGAATCAAAAGGAACATCTTGTTAATACGTTTTCAAGTTCCTCCGAAAATCTCCCTGGAGATTTTACGGTGAAAATGTCAGTGTACTGTGAGGAGTGCCTCTGTCGCAGCAGTATGAGCACTGCCTTCAGCAAGGTGGCAGTAAGTAATGTGAGACTGCTCTGCAGTTCTGAGGTGACAATGCCAGAGAGCTGACAGCACAGGAGATCGGAGGTCCTTCATGATGCAGCAGTCTTTGGGAATCAGTAGTGTAGAACCGCCCAGATTGCCAGCTGTCATAATCGAGGAACCCCGACTCGAGGCCCCCACAATTGCAATTATGTCTGAGTGGACAGCAGGGCTCCCCAGTTATCGGTCCTCCCGCTATTATGGCTGCAATTAGTCAGGACATGTGGTGGCCCCAGTGTCCAACTACTGATTAATCATCAATTAATGGATTCAATCAGTCTTTATCCCACGCAAGGAGGAGCGAGGCAGCAGGGAAGTATTGAGCAGAAGCTGAGCACTGAGAGAGAGTATGTGCTGCTACTGTGCGTGTCTTGGTATCAAGTTGAGAAGTGTGGGAGGCAGGGTTTATCCCCTTGATTTGTCAAAACCGTGCCTCCAAGGACAGTTTCACAAGGATTCTTTGGAAGCAGGTAGGATCAACAGGCAAGTGTTCTGGACTGGGCCGGGGTCTCTGAGGTACGGGTCCGAGCAATGGTTCTCAATCCTGGTCCTGTGGGACAGCTGCGTCTGCTGGCTTTCATCCCAGTGGGGCCCTTAATCGCCGGTGCTAACTGACATAAGCAATCTGCTTTTGCTTGTTTGGACTTTTCTCTGCACTCCATCCTTGCTTTCAAAAACACCCAAGTTAAAAGTAGACTGTTTTCAAAGCATAAGCATATAAAACATTATGCATTCTCTGGCAAAAATGCAAATTAAGGACACACACCCTTATTTCTTACCACAAATCAATACATTTATGTTTCTGGATAAAAAGTAGATATGGGTGGGAATGACAATATACTGTATCAGATTCCCTCCCATTGATAGCAGGTTACGTTTCATGTAATACACCTACAGTAGGTGAGGAGAATTCTGGATCTCAGGAATTGGCACAGGGTGCATTCACATTACAAACCCCATAAAACGTTTCAAGAGCTGTAAGGAAACCCACCAAATATAGAAGATAGAAATCGATTTGCCTGCAATGAAGAACTTGGCTGGGGCAAAAACCATTAGACACAACAGACCCACAGAGCCAGGATAGGGAACCAGTGGGCTAGAAGAAGCAATGATTGAAGAGCCAAGACGGGATGGAAAAAAACAGACATTTCAGTTAGCTACTATTTAATGGAGCGTGCTGCTGTCTTTAAGCATCAATGTGGAAACACACAGCAGAAAGTTAGGAATCACTCAGTTGGTGTTGATCTGTGATGCCAATTACACAACTAAATAGCAAGCCACAGAGCTTTACAAATCATTGTTAACTGTACAGTTAAATGGGAACTTTTGATTGCTGATACTGTGATCACCAGCAATGCAAGTTAAATGTTTTGCCTTAAGACTGTATTACTGGTTTTATGATTAATACTACAATGTAACAGTGAATCGCAAAGGCTTGGTTTCATATTCTGCTTTCGGCAGAGAAAGCAGTAGAAACCATAATTTGATCAATCTCAATCTTTTGATTTGTTTTTGTTCTGTTTTTGAAAGCATGCCATCTTAAATACTGGGAAGTGTCCAGATACATTACAATGCTCCCCCCCACTCTGAAAGTCATGCACATTACAGAGGTGTCAGAACCTTGTTACTGTATGTGATTATCATGAAAGAGGAAGAACTAAAAAGACATAGTGCATACTGTTCAAGGGGAAAAAAAGGGAATATGGAGCACATTATGTGTGAACTGTTACCGCTGTCATTTTATGCCAACTGAGCAATGAAACTCTTAAGGCGATTTGCAGCTCCAAACTGTGTCCTTTGAAGTGCCTCTACAGTCACTATCACTAAAGTTGATTGAATGGAGCAATTTCATTGCACCAGACTCCTAACTAACAGAGACTGCTGTGAAATAACACGAGAAAGCCACTAATAGAAACGCTCTCTGCCAAGCGAAGCAGAGACAAAGACGGCTGACTATATTCCTGCAAGGAGACATCAAATATTCAGAAGTCTAAATTACAGTACCAAAACCCACGCACTTCTTCTGTTTGCTTCATTTGTGTACCCAAAGGTTATCCTGCAGGATCAGATACGCTCTGCAAACGAACACGGAGCAATCCAGTTTGGCGAGGCCATCAAGTAAACGTTACGGATGGTGCTCTGAATTAGAATATCACCACTAGCTACACTGTTTGTAAACGACTGCGACGCATTCCGCACGCGTCTCAGACCAGTCTCGCATCCCCACGCGCACTGTGTTTAGCAAACCCTCACCCATCACCCTTAGATCCCGTCACTCATTCAGTTTCCCTTTTCTTTCACTTCCCCGCTCGCTACTGCGGATTCTCCCTGAGCTCCCTGGTGCGCGTAATATCCTCTCGTTATCGGACCTTCTTGCTTACCCCCTCGTTTACGATTTAGTCGTGTGATCCGGATTGTTACTCCCCTGCTGTCTTGTCGATACCGGACCTCCTTCCTTGTTCCCTGGTTTAAGTCTTAGCCTTGTGATTTGGATTGGAACTCTCAGTGTTCTCTCTCTCCTGAGTCCTGCACAGGATCCATACTCCCTTATCCGCCTACTCATTACAACGATGCAAACATCAATCCTGTGCAGGCTTTTGTGCAAGAATAGGATAAGGATCTTGCCAATGGGAGTCCAGCACTGAGGGGCTCACCCCTCTCCACACCCCTGCGTGCCTCTACTGCCTGAGCACAGGGTCGCCTCGCCCGGCTGACTCACGTGGACCGGTGGATAGACAAGAGCCTCACCTTCCACCTCCTGCCCGATGGAGAGGCCGGCCCACTTCCTCTGAAAGAGAAAGACGTGGACAGTGAGGAACCTACAGCAGAATGAGCGCTGCATGAACTGGCAAGCAGACTGAAGAAGAGCTCTCTATTGGCGAGGCTTAAAGGTGATGATATACTTGGCCCTAGTTTGACAAGATGGGTCTCTAGACTAGTGCTTGTGTCTGCGTGTGTATCCTGGGTGCTGTCCCAGCTTATGCTCTCTGCTTACATGATGGGCTCCAGGATGCCATGACCCTTAATGAGTACAGGTACCTTTCAGATAACGGATAATGGTATCATGAAAAGGGGCATGTAGATACAAATAAAAATGGGAAATATTTGTTATACATGTTTAGAATAATTTTTGGCAATGCCTTGACTTGTCTACTATAAAATGTAGTACACGCCATATCTATCATGACAAACCAGGGCGAGAAAATGAGGAGTTGCTGTGCTCCGTTCTAACTCCTGGATTTATTCAAATCAGCTTAAAACTTTTTGAAATGCAACACTGTGAGAGTGGCTGCAGCCACAGCAAGCACTGCTCCTGGGCTTCACTTTTTCATCCCTGAGATATGTCCCAACATGCTTTAGCAAAACTAGCATGAAAGGGGATATATAAAAATAAGCAAATGAGCCTGCATTTCGTTTCAGTCCTCCAGACATCCCCTCACCTGCGGCAGGCTGAAAGCAATGGTGCCGGGGACCACGGAGTGATGGGTTTTCACAGTGAAGACGTACTTGTGCGTCGGGGTGGTCTTCACAGTCACATGCCTGCAGGCAGGAGTGGATATGATGTCATCTTATATCAGTGCACCGTGTACAAAACTAACACTAGTAGATTATGGGCAAGCAGGTAGAGGAAGAAGCTCTTGGTGGTGGCTAGCGTGGGCAGATTTTCAGTATTTCCTTCTTTTCCAGCGATGGAATTGGTTTCAACCAAGGCTTGAGACAGTGCTGATTGGAAGGACTGAGAGCAACAAGGGCACAAAGGTCTCCCAGCTGTACTATTTACAGTTAGGCACCAGGCACTATATGCCCTTCTGCACTACTGTCACTTTGCTATCCTAAGAGGATTCCCCACTAATCCAAGATTACTGTTAATGTCTCCTCAGAAGGCTGAGGTTAAATGGTGCTGAACCACTGGGAATAAACACACCTCCACATTACACATCTAGGTATTTGCCGCTGAGAGTATTCCGAAAAAGAATGAAAAGCTTTCTGACTTTATATTTTTAAACTTATGTAAATCGTTTTTGGACTTTTTTTGCAAAAGTCATGCACATTATCTGGTAAAAGAGCAAAACATTTGTGCAGATAGACTTTATAGGAGAAAAGGATGATGCAAATTGAGAATCCTGTGTTTTTCCTGAAATGCATGCAAGGCTTAGGGAACACTGGTACTTGTAAGGTAAGGGAGCAGTGGATAGGAGAACACTTGACAGAAACTTAGTGTTTGCATGTTGCTTAACGTTTAAAAGTTAGTCCATAGAGGAACTGAAGGTCATCAGCAAATCAGGCTTGATCAAGTCTCTTTCATCTGTCACAGCAGCTGGAATTCCACATGCCAGCAGGGGTCTCAGATTCAAGAAAATCAGGGAGTAGAAGTCTGTTGGGATCGCACATCCCAGGCTAAAGCGTGATAGATGCATCAGAGTCATTCACAAAGAGTCAAAGGCAGCAGCCAACAGCATCACTAGGCCAGCTAATGAGCCAGAACAATCTCTCTGTCAAGCTCTGTAGGCAACATCTGCCAACATCAGTCCTCTATACTGTACTCTTCTTTCTGAGGCCTATGGGTCCCCAAGAGTTAAAAGAAAGATGCCTTTATACCTGCAACTCTACTGTGATGAGCACAGGGGATTACACACATTTATGAAATGTCACTGATTTCTCCAATAGAACAACATACTAATGCTGGTTTTCCTAATCGTCTGCACACTAAGCCATCTTGCATTTAAAAAGGAAATGTTATGGGTTCACGTTTAGAATCTAGAGTCTTTTCAAACGAATCAAACTCACCACCCCGTGGAATTCATTTACCTGCAATCACATCACCTAAAGATCATTGAGAACGTGTTTTATTACGAATATTTTGCCCACTGTGCTGTACTATACTGTGCCGCACAATCCTGTTCCTACAGAGTGCTGCTGGCAGCACTGGAGACTTACTGCCCAGACTCCAGGTCCTTCTCGTTCGCCACGGCGCAGTTGGTCAGCGACAGGTCGTCTGTCGGGCATCGCGCCGCTTGCATAGTCTGTGAGGGCAGAGCAGAGAGGAGGTTAGAGCACAGGGGCTGGGCACACTGCCCGATTTGATCTAGCTGACAAGGTTGACAGTTGACAAATTATAACTTCATAAATAAAAGGGCCTGTGCCCAGTCTGCACCAGAGGCCAAAATTAAGAACACTGCTTAATGCTAAATTTGCTGCAACAAACGAAATCTGTCAAATGGAGGCAATTACACAGCACAGGGCTGTGCTGCCACTATAAAATGACTCAATTGTTGTTGGTTGTTTTTTTCAATTTATGCATCAAAATGAAAACCAAACTGACCCTACTCCAGTAAGCAAGACCTCTAATAATACACTGTTATTGTTTTGTTTCTTGGGGGAAAGTTTCTAGGCTTCTATAAGAGGACTCTCCACTGCCCCACAGACAGCCCCATTAATAACCCCCAATAGGGAATCAATACACTATCTCAGAAGAGAGTGGGCCCCTTCAAAAGCACTGCAAACACCCCATATCTCCCAGCCCCAGCTCCCAGGATGCGGTCTTTAAAAAGGTTGCTTCTTTCAATCACAGCTTTCAGAAGCCGTAATAAAAACCCGAACTCAATTATGTCAGCTACAAACAACAAACTCCGCTGCTAGTTCTCCTGTACCCACTTTCCCTAATTTGATTTGACCTTGATGTCTGAGCGCTGCAGAATTGCTCTTCACACTCACAGCCCCCGAGAGAGATGGGGCGTCGTGCCTGTGTGTGTGTGTTCGCTACAGCCAACAGCTCCAGCTTAGAGCTTTGCGCTAAAACACCTGCATTTGCCTGTTACCAGAGGATGTGATGGCAGCATAAATTACCACCAGACATGACACCTGGATTGTCTCCACAAAGTTGCCAAGCAGATAGTGATGCAGCCCTGTCAAAGTACTGCCGCTGAAGACTGATCTCGATACCAAGAACAGGAAAGGCCTCTTGCTCACAGCTGACAGTTATGTGATAACACACGTCAGGGCTCTGCTGAACAGCACTCAGAGCATGCAAACAACTCATGAAGACGGGGCCACAAGCCTCCTGCAGTGTGTGACCCTACAGTATTTGCCCCTTCAAATGGCAGGGGTTGAACTCAAGAAGATGCTTATCATGGCTGGGCACGCAGACACAGACAGACAATCAATGGCTAATTAATATTTTATGTATTTCTATGACTGTTTAACAATGCTATAACAGAGTACTGTCTAAAGACACTTAATTCTGGTTCTTGTTATTATTCTGAAAGTGAGCAGACAACAAAGGGATCTATCCACCTGGCTAGTGCAATACACAGGGCAATAGACAGACCTGAGGAACCCGAGACCTGTGAGGGCGCTTGGGCTCCTTGTAAAGGCGTAACATTGGGAGGTCAACTCCAAAGATATCTAAGACACTTAGAAGAGGCTGAACATGGAGCCCTGGTCCTTTGTACCTCTCTGCAGGGCCATCTCTGTGTGGAATGGAAGGCAGAGAAATGGTGTGGGGTTGTCAAAAGCTGTAGAAATACGTTATTGATGACTAAGGCTTGTAACAATCCCAGCAGCCCTTGGCCTGCACGAACAGCAGAAGACGCCCAGCCTGCATTGCACTTTCAGGGGCTGAAAAACAGATCCACCGGCTTGCAAGCAAATCTGGAAGGCCCGAGGCACCTTCCAAAGGGTCAATAACAAAATCAACAGGGAGCTAAACCTCAGAGACTCCTCAGAAAGGTAACTGAAAGATCCGATGCATTTAGGGCTCAGAATCATGAAGATCTGGCATACACCTCACAGCCAAGTCACTGAAGCCCACACTCTGGGATCCCTCAGCAGCCAGCTGGACACGATTTTGGAACCGATGAGTTACAACCATCCAGATGAAGATGGGTCCCCCCCCAGCCTCCTGTGGTTTGCAACCCTGTAGTCTTTGTGGCGCTGGGTTGTTGAAATCGCCAGCAGTAGTGAAGACTGAAGCACTGATAAGAAAAAAAGGACTGGGGCATCTGGGGATGAAGTCAGTCTGCATGACACCAGGGTCTAGTACACTTACGGCGCCAGGAGCAGCACCTAAGCAGAGGAAGACTACACATAAGCCCGACCAGGCTGACCCAAGCTTCCCCACTTCCCTCATCCTTCAGGGGAAGAATTTAGACAACTAATTCACACCACGCCTCGGCAGACACTGCCTCCGAGTCCGTGGTGTGAGCACACGCCTCCAGGAGAGCAGGAGAACAGACACATTGAAATGAGAAACCCCTCCTGCTGACAACCTGTTATATAACGGCTGCTCTCACTAAGGCACAAGTATCCAATACGTCACTCCGAAGCTGCCATGGCAATGGCTTCCTCCACAAGTACGGGAAAATAACTGGGCTACACACGGTGAGCCAAACATTTCAAAAATAAATAAACGGCAGCCAGCACGCACCCGACCCGTGAAAAGGAAAATGTCCTTCAAAAGTGGTTTTAATGCAAGCATCACAGGAGACTGCACTGCATTCTGGCTGTGACAAAGCTTAAATTCCTCAATGATTTGTACATCTAAAACTGTGCAACCTGGCCCCTTTTCATCATGCATTGATGAAGGACAGCTTCTGTACTGGAAGATGTAGGGCTGGCATTTAAAAAACCGATCGGATGGTTTTATTTTGCTTTTTTTCCCCCCCCCCCCCCCCCCCCCGAGCCTCAGCAGATTTTGCTCTTCTAATTTATTCGGCGATTAAACGATCAATTGAGCTCGGCAGGGTAAAAAATGGAATATGTAAGTGTACTGGTGTAAGGCCTGACGGTGAGTCGGCAGAGTGCGTGAGAGTGGAGGAGCTCTCTGAAGCGCTGGCACCGATCTCACTGCAGCAGGCCAGCCCTCACCCCTGCTGCAACATCTCCTAGCAAGAGGACGGAGCTGAACGGGAACAGGCACAGTTGCACTGCTAATCCTTCTTTCAGATCCGAAAGCAGCAGCAGGCTTGTCCTACATACTGCATGTTATTAAGAGCAAACAAAACCGGGTATGAAGATATTTTCGAAGCCTGAGTGTGGTTGCTTTTTTGGTCTTCTAGCTGGACACTGCATGATTGTGTAGGGCCTGACATCTATCCACGTAAACCACGGGTGCAGAAATGTAGCAGGGGAACTGGGTGGTTGTATTGTAACTGATGGCACTCACACGTGCGTATGGTTAAAAATGTATAATTGATTATGTTTTGTTTTTCAAGGCTTCTATAGCTCCGTCACAATTAGGTCCCAAAGTAGTAAGTATGTATGAAAAAGAAATGGTCTCCTTCAGAACTGTACCTAAGTATGAAAACAATAACATGCAGAGTTAATTATTAGAGTAATATGCTTAAAGTTATTAGTTGATGCATAAACAGGAAGAAAACCCATATCACTCCCACTCATTTACAGCACATCATGATGTACAATACATCATTAGAGTCATTAGCAAACATGTTAAAATTAGGTATTATCCTTTAGTATAACCCTCACAAGCCTTTCAAAAAATAAATTCTGCAGAAAAGATGCGAGAAAAGAAGGCTCTTCAATACTTGACGAAAGCCCAGCTTGTAAGAGTGAAACTCTGCTCATTACTACATGACAGCTCAGAGAGAGGGTGTTCATATAGCGAAGCATTACTGTACACAGCTGTCAGCTAAACTGCTTCCTCTCATACTGCAACCTTTCCTCTGTTCTGGGGTAGCCTTTGCAATTACAAACCCCTTTGCCAAATGAAGAGCTCCTTCTCTTTGACTCTTTTCATTCAGACAGGCTTCCTCATCCTGGACCGATGGGGCCCGGAGTGGCAGGGCTGACTGGCACTGCTGTCTCAGCAGGGCCAAGAGGCACCTGGGGAACTTCCTTCTTGCCCTCCTTTGAACCGGCTAAAACAAGAGCACCACTGCAGCCTCGCAGCATGCGTGACCTTCAGCGCTTCTGCGGGAAAGAGGAGGAAAAAAAAGCTGGAGCAGATCCCTGGTCGCGATTTCCGTACAAAACGCCACAAGTCTTGAGCCGAAGTGGTTTTAGAGCAGCACGGCGCAGCGCCGACTCTCTGAACCCCACAGGAGAGAGAGGACCGGCCCGAAAACATTTCTCCCGCCTCTTCCAGTTCTCCAGATCACTTGACACAACTCTCCACTTCCACTCCCAAACACAACCCCACCTCCAGAGAGCTGCGTTGCTTGCATACAGAAGACTGAGGCGAGCGACGGCTCAGCAAACAGCAGCACCTGGGGGGTTTGCGGCACCAGTGCATAACAGAACTGCACCGGTGCATAACAGAACTGCACCAGTGCATAACAGAACTGCACCAGTGCATAACAGAACTGCACCAGTGCATAACAGAACTGCCTGCACTCAGTTCAGGCACCGTGCTTTTCTAGTTTATGAATCCAGTCTGTGTCCTCTCAGCCAGGGTTGAAAGAATAACCTTCTGACTGTAAATGAAGGCACCATGTGGGAGACTGGAAGGCACTAGGCTGTTATGTTGCCAAAGCCGATATCCTGCCTTCCTTCAATAAATGGCTGGATGAGACCCTTGGATCAATTAGCTCCTAGCAACCAACCGAGCTAGAGGGTCTGAATTGTCTCTTCTCATCTGTAACCTTCCTTTATAGTCTAAATTCTGTTCAACTGGTTCAGTAATTTGCCACCCACACACGCCTGCAGAATCTGCAAGCTGCACACTAATGACAGTATAAACCCAGGACAGATACTTCCAATGTCTGAAACCTCTGGGGTGGTGGCCAGGGTCCTGGCCTTCTGACCAGTGGGTCGTGGGTTCAAATCCCAGATGGAGACACGGTTGCATACCCTCGAACCCAGCACTTCAGCTTCAGTGCTCCATAAACCTGGGTGCAAAAACCGGTATTGCAAAACAAAGATGTGAATTGTGTTAAAGTGCCACTCAACTTAATAATACAGGAGGGTGGCAATAAATGTGACTCACCAGAGCGCTACAGTGACTAAGGTGATACACTGCAGTCATCATGCCAATTCACTCTTTACACAATCGCATCTTTTTAAGCAA